TTTGTTCTTTGTTTTATTATGCTGTGATTTTGTGATTAACTGAATAAATATAAGTAAAAATATATCAATGAGAGTGCTATTTGTTCGTAACTAAATCTCAGGATTCGGAGTCTCGGACTTTTCTTAATTCTTTTTCTAGCAAGTACGTCTCTGCGTTTCCTAGGCCCCTACATTTTGGTGTCTCAACAATTGCGGCAACATTTATTTGTTTAACACTTTAAATTCACATTTGGATGTATCAACCATGCTTCCAGAATATAGAGGTCTCGGGTTTGAGTCCCTGGGTATAGAGTTGACTATGTTAGGGAGCGCTTTACCCCCTATGTGGACTTTCCGGCGCGAATCCGAATTTAATCTGGCCCCAATATGAATACCGAACACTGGAGGAGAAACAAAAAAAAACATGCTTCCAAAAATGTGAGGTTTGAGGTTTAGTTTCCAACAAAGACAAAAAATACTAGGTTTATTGTACTTTGTGCGACGTTATTAGTAATGTTAATATAAATTTAATGTTAATATTAATCTTTAAGGTCAAACACAATGAGTTAAAAATTCTTGATCTGCCTGCCTCTACATACTTCTCATCCTTAAATACTAAGCTTTTCCTCACCAAATTTAACCTGTCAAAACATCATTGAAATGCCATCTAGAGGATCTTGAAAGATAAAGAGAAATTAATACAAATCAATGATCTGAAAAAGCTACTAGATAGGCCAAACTAGCATTGACAAGTAGTTCAATTTTTTTTTCTCTTTCTTATTGAATGGTTCAAACATTATTAACATGATTAAAAAGTGCTTCTCATACTCATTCCGTGAAACCACATATTAAGAATTTAAGGTTTAGGGTTTACTGTTTACCTTTCATGATCTTTGTGCGGCGTTAATAGTAATCACTATTAAAAAAATACGAATTAGCGACAAATAAATTTTGTAGCTAAACAAAAAAAAATCGACACTAATCCTATTCAGCGACGAATTAGCAATGAATTATCAAAAAATTATGTTAGCAACAAGTAATTTAACGATAAATTAGTGACAAAGTTCGTAGCTAAATGTTAATACAAATTAAATAAGAGCTGTGAACCATTCTTTTCAAAGCTTATATTCCTTCGAAGTTCTCTTCACACTTTAGGAGTAGATAAACCAGTCTTTAGTGTAGAAAATTAAAGCATTATCAATTGTTTCTCAAGTATTCTGTTTGTTTGTTTATTTCCTTTTAACTCTCTGGCCAGTTTGAACTTTGACTTGTTCATTCAAATTAATTGCTTGACATGACATCGGCAACTTGAGACAATAACGTCCCACCAATTTCAGAAAAAACACAATATATTATGATCAGATTTTTCTTACGAAGGTTCTTTATACGACAAGTACAGTATTTGAGACTTTTAAATATAAAATATTACTAGAAGATATAGGCATAGCTATGACTGCTTACTTACATAATCAATAAGATACATGACAATTAAAAAATCTCGAATTCCTTATTTCATTTACGAAAATATTTCTACATACCTTTCTATTATCGTCTATTGTTTAATCTTGTCCTTCGCTATACTACCTAGTGACAGTTAAAATACGTGTGATTTGGCAAAGAATAGGGTGCAAATTAAACAATGCTAGCTAGCGCGGCATAGTGGCCGATGTAGAGTGTTGTCGTTGGGTTCCCCGGAACCAAGTAACTTTTGCATAGACGCTTTATTAAGAAATTATTTAAATATTTATAAATATCTAATTGTGAACCCAGTTATTATTGTATATTAATTTGAAATTACATGATAGGAATTCATAAATTTCAAATTCTAGATCTGCCTCTGCCAGCGCTACATATATTAATTAGGTAGTAACTCGTAAAACAACAAAAGGTATGTTCACTAAAAAATGATGCACATGTTAGGAACGAATTGTAAAATGATAAAAGATAGGATACAAATCGATCGAGGATTAATGATATACATTACGTGTACAAAATGCAAACAACTCTGGGTTTAATAGAAATACTAACATTTATTAATTAAATGAAATTCCCTTGATACCAAATGCTCTTAGAAACTTTCTACCTTAGTTGTTCACTAGTCTTGGTTGTACAAGAACCACGTACCTTATTACCAAATATCCAAATTCCGGTTTGAATCGTTTTTTTTCCTTCAATTAAATATGACTCAACGGCGTGATATGATTTATTAATTACGATTTCTTGATGACCTTTAAGGTTTTGTTTAGTTTCCCACTGAGTCTCCGGTAACGTATTGAGGTTTGACTAAATCTGGAATCACGTTGTAAAATTTACATTGGGGAATAAAATATTCCCTCACAAAAAACGACTTCATACTCAATGCTCGAACTCAAGACCTTCAATGAAGGATGGAATAATACTTATTATTCAGTCACATCCCTTATCCGTGACCTTATAGGATTTCATGAAGCTATGCTGTGCGGACTATCAAAATGTTTTCGCACCTGTATCGGATCCTTTAAAAATATACTAATTTTGAAGGATCCGTCATGTATTCAGTGATATTTTTAGAGAATTCGAGCAACATGTATAGACAAAGGACAACAGAGCAGTATAACCTATATTTGAGGGGGGACCTTCAGAAGTTCTGGTTAATACACAACTATACGTCAGCAAAACAAACTATTTTTTTCTAAGTACACAACTATACGTCAGCAAAACAAACTATTTTTTCTAAGTAATGAATCCTTTCTCAATCTTCTAGCAGGTATGAACCAGGTCAGAAGATGGAGATGCTTCGACTAGAAGAAAGGTATACAATAATTTAATTAATATATAAAACTTGTTAAAAAATTTAATTTACATAACTCAGTTGAGGTTATGACTTATTGGCCATGGAACTCTATTTACAATGGGGCAAAGATCATTTTTAGCCCGCGGTCGAAACTATATATATACACACTTCATTGCACCATTATTCACCTCTCCCTAAATGTCAACGAATGGTGGTGTTACATATGGATAGATACACACACATATATAGGGGTAATATTATTTTTAGAGTTTTGATTTTAAAAAAAAAAGATGAGTATATATATTGAAAAACAACGAAAGGCGATATCTAGAAATTTATTTGTAAAAAGTCAAATAAGATACTTATCAAAGGACTATTTATATGCAAATCAGACATTATGACATCAGACATATTAAATTCTTCCAACTTTTTGTCTATTTTATTTTTGTTCATAAACCAGCAAAGAAAGAAAATAAATAAAAGATGAAGAAGAATACAAAAAAGTATGCAACAAAGTAAAAAAGAGAAGAAATATCTGGCTTGACTTGACTTGGAGATCCCAAGCTAGAAGTCATATGGTCCACATTGAGGGCCAACATATTAATTCTTTCTGCTGAATTTAGTGTCTTGCGAATTGGTCAATCTCTATCTTCTATATTTCTTTTAATGTTTTTTTTATGTTCCATCTGCTTTAGGTCACGACTAATTCGGCTTTGAGCTAGAAAGTCGCATATTGAGGGGATAAAGTGTTTCATATCAAAAACATCTTCATATCACGACTCAAACCTAAAACTTTAAGAAAAAATAAATACTTACTATTCCACCACCACTTTAAGAAGATCAATGTCAATATATCTTCAAGACAAATCTCGAATGTTTTTAATATACTTGACCTATTGCAATCATAAAGGACTTTGAGTTTTTCTTTTCTAACTTTGCATATTGTCCAAGTCAATGGTGTGCCCGCACTAGTGGACTACCACACTTGTTTATCAGAACTAAAAGCCCTAATTTTCGAAAATTCATATGTGACATGTCTCTTAACTTTCCAAAATCTTCTGGTATTAATGCATCATTATAACCCTTTCATGACTTCAGCAAATTTACAATAACTATTTTTTCTTCCCCTTTTTAGTTTTTTTTTCTTAATAACCATTCGGTAATGGTCTGATTCGGATTCACGCTGGGGAGACAAACCTTTAAGGTCAAAAGTCAAAAGTGTTACTCATGAGACAAGCGAAGGGCCACGCTTGTTAAACTTGAACTTCTACCCATGGATCAAGGGCAGCTCGGTGCATTAAGCTCCCGCTATACGCAAGGTCCGGATAATGGTCGGATCACAAGGGTCTATTGTACGCAGTCTTACCCTTCATTTAGGGTAAAAAATTCAAAGGTGGCACCAAAGTGTCCTATTTGTTCAAATCATCCCATTAGAATTCTATATACATTGCTAAGGCTCGATATAATTGTACTTCTCTCGATATATTTGCAAGAGAAAATTAAGACTATGAGTTCTTAGATATTCAGGAAACTATTGGGATCACTGTTTTATTTTTATTAAAGAAGAATAAAATAGACGATGCATTTTTCCAGTAGAATCAAAAGTTAGACCCAAACTTTTGTAGCGTTTAAAATGTGTTAACCATTTCTATTTAACTAATGCAGGTTATTATGCGCGACGACAAGAAAAAAAGTGTTTTGAAACTGAGGTAATACATAGTTAGAATTCCAATTGTATGTAGAACAATTCAATAATGATAGTGATATTAATTTGAAAATTTTCATACTCTGATAGACTTTAAATCTTTTTTTTTTCACCGGATAGAATTTAAAACTGACACTTTCAAATTGTGCACCTAAGTTTCATAAATGACTCGAACATATCAATCGAGTACTTAACAAAGTCATTTTTGAATAATCAACAAAGTTAAATAAGTATGGAATCAGCTAGTGATACTTGAATCAGCATACACTACTTATATCACACACCCCTTAGGGTGCAATCGTTCTCCGCACCCTGCATAAATACCAAATACAATTCATGCACGGACTACCTTTTTTCTTTTTTCAACAAAGTTAAATAGGCCAATTAAGTTCAATGGACTTTGACCAAAACAACTACCATCTCTTGACCTTTCTCATTAATTATTATACTTTGTCTTTGTCATATTATTTTATTTTCTTCTTTGTCTCATTTATTAACCACCCTATAAGATATCCATGCACTAGTTTGATAATTAAAATGAGTGAAAAAAGAGCAGAGAAAATAGAAAATATGGAATTAGTGGAAAATATAGCAGCTAATACTAATATTAAAGCTGAAGATGAAGAAGAAATGATGCAACTTCCAGGTTTTCGGTTTCATCCTACAGATGAAGAGCTTGTGAGTTTTTATCTTAAACGCAAAGTGGAAAACAAAAAGATCAAAATCGATCTTATCAAAGAGGTTGATATCTACAAACATGATCCTTGGGATCTTCCAAGTGAGTATATATACTAGTAATTATTATATGTAATTAATTTTTCGTGCAACCGAATTTATTGTTTTTAGTTCGAACTATGTTTACATATACAAAAAGAATATAAAAAATGTATATGTACAATTAGATCATATTTTCAGAGTCTACTAACTCTAGATCGTAAATTCGGTTCTGCTTCTCCCCTCACACCCCAAGATTATCTGATAAAATCAGATGGTCTAGCATAAACACATGGTTAAATTCGAGTCGGAGCTAAATTTGATCTTTATGGGTTTTAAATTTAAATTTTGTACATATTTAGTGATTTTTTAATACAAATTCAGAGTTTGGACTAAAGCTACTGGATTCGATCGAACCTATAGCTTGGCTTCTAGCTGCGCTCTAGGCTAAATTAGCTAATGAGGTATAGGTATGAAGACCCCAAACTAGGTTTAAAACACTTTCTCCCTCTCTAAAAGTTTGTAAAGGGCTAAGTTAAAATAAAGGAAATCTGGAATTCTGGTGGTTTACGTTCTAATTGTACCTAAAAAAAATTATTTTGTGCTAGCTTATCAGTTTCTGAGATGAAAAGCTTACATTACGAGTATATACATCATCTGAGATGAAAAGCTTACATTACACGTGCTTTGGTACGATGGAAGTTATTTTTTGTTAAAATATTTTTTTTGGTTAAAAGTTTTCTATAAAAATTATTTTTCTAGAAAATGTTCATCGGTGTAGGTAGGTGAATGCAAAATATAGTTTTTCGAAAAAATATATACATGAACATTTGATAATAACTAATATTAGCAAATCAAAGCATGTTTAAATAAAAATTTTGAGTACTAAAGATCAACTAATAAATGTCTAAATGTTGAACAAGTAATATAAAAGTTAACACCTGTAAGGTAATCGAATTTTGCCTATGGTGATCAGGGAAGTCATCTTCCCTTTCCTTGAAAAATACTACGTAGTTATTTTGTAATCGAACACAAGAAAATGACTTTCTTGGGATTTTCTTGAAAAATGACTTCCTTCTTACATACTATACCTTTTATTTTCTGAATTACGTTCAAGCAATTAGGTATGGTAAGCACAAGGTACATACAATTTAGGTCGGGGTCAATATAAATGAATATCCAGTCTATTATAATAAATATTACTACCTTAATTTCTTGTTGTATGAAAGTGTTCAATTGGACATGGAATCTAAAAAAAGAATTTATTTTGGGACTTGTAGTCTTAAATAAGTTATGATATTTCTATAATTATAAAATTATGTTATTAAGGATAAAATAAAAGTTTAAAATAAATTATTTTTATATTAAAATGCTTCATTTATTTTGAAGTAGACTTAAAACGAGAATGTATATCACATAAAAATGTTATAGAGAAAATAGTGCATTGCTTGGAGAACCGTGAAGAAGGGCGATAATGTTGTTTCCAGGTCACATGTCATTGGGTTCGAGCCATGTAAGCAGATACTAATATTTGTATTAGGGTAGGTTGTCCACATCACACCTCTTGAAATGCGATCCTTTTCTGAATCCTACACGAATGCGGGATGCTTTGTGCGAGAACTGCGAAATCACCTCATCAGGAAAGTGACTGCTATAATTAGATCTGGTTTGTACTGGAAGATGTATATTTGTTTGATCTTTTCCTGCAACAATTGTTGACCAGATCTAATTCCTTCAAATTTGGCTCCAAAGTTGAAGGAATCATACAACAATCTTCAAACAAGACAATTAGAAAGTGACTTTGCCCTTGTCATTGACCAAGTTCTCGTCATACCTTATTAGCTAATTCAAACAAGACAGCATAGATTATTATTTGGTCTAATATAAAATACCTATCTATAACTCTTACCATTAGAATTTTGCTTGAGTGCATTAGAAGCAACAAAGACAATAATATCTTCTCCAAAGAACACATGGTAGATAAAGTATTCATGTTCCTGAAAAAAAATAATGCTTAAGAAACAAGAGTTTAACTTTTTTTATAATTGATAGCGTATAAAAGTTTGTACACTAACAATGGCGGAACCAAGATTTTTAACGGGGTCAAACAAAAAAAAAAATACACTCGGGAAGAAGTCATTGAGTGTTAATATGTAATATATACATAAAAAAATATTTACCTAACCACACCCGTGTGATTAATTTCTGACGAATAGGTGTTGACACCCTTGAATACATGTGGCTCCGCCACTGCTAACGTACCAAATCGCCTAGACAACTACATATAATTGTCTATAATAATTGTGAGTGGTTGAAAAATGATATAAATAATTTGTCACAACAGATTAAATACAGAGAAAGTGTAAAGATTGTGTACACAATCAGTGTATATATACAAGTTAAATCCAAAAAACAAAGATGTTATCTTCATAATGTAAATGTTGAAGTTTAAATTTTCATTTAAGATATGTTTGTAACCTAATTTTTCTAACTTTTGTGTGTTTTGAAATTAATTTGTTTGTACGTAGAAGGGAACACAGTGGGGGATAATTGTAAGGAATGGTATTTCTTCAGCATGAGAGGGAGAAAGTACAGAAACAGTGTAAGACCAAATAGAGTAACAGGTTCTGGTTTTTGGAAAGCAACAGGAATTGACAAGCCTATTTATAGTAGTACTACTACTACATCACAAAGTACAGATCGTGAATGCATTGGCCTCAAGAAATCATTAGTATATTATAGGGGAAGTGCTGGCAAAGGAACAAAAACTGATTGGATGATGCATGAGTTTCGCCTCCCACCAAATTGGAAGACTTCAAACCAACAGCTGCCCAATCCCAAGAACATTATTCCAGAAGCTGTAAGTTCCCCCAACCCCAC